GTTCTTGTGCATATGCCCTCTCTTCTTATCAGCTGGACGCTTCACTCTCCACTCTGGTCCTCTGTGGCTATGCCACTGACTCTGGGCTCAGGAGTCCCCAGGTCTTAAAGTACTGCTGGCCAACCAGGTCTCCACCCAGGTTCACAGGAGTCTATTGAATGTGGTAGGACTTTGCTCGCAGCTTCATTGTTTTTCCCTTACTTCCCCTTATCGGTGACCAATATGGTCACCAGTCAGAATGAATGTCTGCTTGTGTATTTCCCTTGAGTCTTAGTCTTGGAAGGGGATTTGCCCTGAGGGGACCTGACCACTTGCTTTGATGTCTCCTGGAGTGAGCAACTTGCCTGTTCTCGTAGTAGTCTGTTACTGTTTTGTATTTTTCCGGTTGATCTTTCTTATAAGAAGTATCTTCTGTTCTAGCCGCTCCAGGCTGGTCTGCTTGTCCTTTCAAGTGGAAATTTCCCATCAGAAGATTCTGGATGGGGTTCAGGATTCCACCTATCGTCTTATGCATTGAAAAGGTTCTGCAGAAAGCCTCCTTCACTGGGCAAGTTGTAGCCCCATTTAAGGTATTCCAATCTGTTATAGGCTGAAGATGGACTTACGGGCTTTCTGTGGTGATATTTCTGGCTATTTCTTTCTCTCCCCCTCAAGTGTCTATTTTATAATGTTATGCAAGGGAAACCAAGAGTCAAAAGACAGCCAAGCATCTTAATGTTACTTATCCCCCTTTTAACCTATTCAAACCATGCCTCAATCCCTATATCCCAGAGCCTGGTTGTTCCAAGGTTGTGCATACATCATTATTTACTTCTGTCCCACTTAACCCATGCAAACCTGACTAACTGTTCTCCCATCCTCCTTGTTCTTCCATTCCCTTCCCCCTTCTTGTTTATTGCACCCCCTCCCCAGCACCCAAACTATCCTGTGTCTATCTCCTACTCTGTGCTCCACCTTCCCCTCTCTCCCCTCACCCCACCCCCCCACATCCCAGTAACAAGCAAAGAATCCTCACCCCCCTTTTAGTATGGGTTATTTTTCTTAGTCTTTTACCATAGTGGTTCTATGCAGTAGTTTTCCTTTTGTGACTGACTAATTTCACTCAACATAATGTCCTCAAGGTTCATGTATGTTATGTGGTGGCTTCCTTGTTCTTCAAGGTAGCATAATACTCCATTGTGTGTATGTACCAAAGTATGTTTATCCATTCTTCAATTGATGGGCACTTAGGCTGAATCCTTTTTTTTTGCTGTTGTAAATAGTGCTGCTATGAGCATTGGATCTTACTGTTACTGCTGGTGTGAGATGGTATCTCATTGTTGTTTTGATTTACATCTCTCAAATGGAGTTCTGGTGTGGCACTGTGGGTTAACACGCCAGACTGCAAAGCCGTTTGAACTGCGTGGTCGGTAGTTCAAGCTCACCAACTGCTCCTTGGAAACCCTATACAGGGTAGCTATGGGTCGAAACTGACTCGATGGCACTTAACAACAGCACCAATGGCTAGTGATCATGCTGAGTTGGTGTTTGTAAAAGGCGTGGGATAAAGGTCTTGTTTCAGTCTTTTGCATATCGCATTCCAGTTCTGCCAGCACCGTCTGTTGAAGAGACTATCACCTCCCCATGCCGATATATTTAGGCACTTTGTCGAAAATCAGTTGGCTGTATGCAGATGGGTTAATTTCTGGACTCTCGATTCTGTTCCATTGATCAATGTATCTTTCATTATACCAGTACCAAGCTTTTTTGACCCCTGTGGTGGTGGTGGTGGTGGTCATGTG